GGGGCTTGGATTGGCGGCGGAATCGGGCGTCCGGCTTATTCCGTCCTATACTCGCAATGCTTTTCCATGGCGCTTAGGTCCGTTTGACAGAACGCGCTATACGGGATTCTAAATTCCTCAAAAGGAACTCAAATTGGCGCTTAGTTCCGTTTGATAGAAATACGTCCAAATCAAAAGGAAATCCGCTCAAATTAAGAGGCTTGGTTCTTGATTTAAGAAAAAATCCAATTGAATCAAGAGTATTTTTTCTTGTCGATGTTTTTAGAGTCTGGACTCTAGATCCAATGTGTTTTTTTTTTCCCAGTGCGATACTATTCTTCTTTCGGTAAAAAACGAGTTTACTGGGAAAATCCTGAATGGTTTTCTTCCACTTTTGGTCCGCAATTTAATCTGTAATATTTGGACTGCATTTTGCAATTTGGAACTAAAAATTCCGGCCCGGTTTAAAAACAACGTATGTGCCATTAGTTTCCCTATGCACATAATAGTTTTTTCAGATGAGCCAGAATTTATAGCTCCAAATTTCAAAATGCAGTCCATTTGGAAAGGTCAAAAGCGAAAGGTGACACCTAACCTAACAAGGCTAAAAACACAATGACACCGAGACGTCTAGGCTGGAAACATCGCAGCCTTCTTCAGTTAGATAGCTAGATAAAAACAATGCAAATTTAAAAACTTAGTACTCGGTTGTATCATTGCAAAACGACATGGATATTGTTGAGGTACAAGCGAGTACTAAGTTTTTAAATTTTCATTTTTTTTTATCCACCTGAAGAGGGCTGTGGTGTTTTCAGCCAAAACGTCTTGCTGTCATTGTGTTTTTAGCCTTGTTGCGGTCTGACCTTTATCGACGCATATTCTTTCAATTGGAGGGCAACATGGAAATGTTTTCCTCTCTCGAATAGAGTGAAGTAAAAGGCCGCGGGTCTTTTAAAAGAGCATTATTTCGCTTAGAATTAGCACGGAAAAGGATGAATGGTAGCTTAAAAGTGGCACAGAAAAAGATGGATGGATGTGGTGGCATCGGCACTTCACCGTCTAGCTGTATGTTATCCCCAGGAAATCGATCAGCAATTACACACAAATGCGCCGCTTTCTCAGTGCTCAGGCAGATGAGATGCGAGCTGTCCAGTTCTCTCTAGAATCTTGAACCAGTTAAGAACGTAAATTCTTTTTCGCAGAATTAAATTTTTTGGACCGCAACCTTTATGTCATAACTTCAGCTTGATATAACAGTTATGGAAGTTTTCAATTTTCAATTTTATTATTCCTATGTTACTGCATTATTCGATAGCTCTTTCTTCATTTTTACTCGACTCTGAAATCCATTGACACTCATGGATTCGGATTAATTGTTATTCAATTTTTATTTTACATTTCATTTTTTTTTTTTTTTTTTTTTTTTTTTTTTTTTTTTTTTTTTAAAACTTTATCGCTACTAAAAAATAAATTAGGGAGCAAAAGGAAACGCCAAACAACCCCAAAAATTAAAACATTTTGATGAAAATATAACCATTGATAGGTGTCTCTGAACTAGCATACTATATCCAATTTTTTAGTTCATTAAGAGAGGCTAAAAAGTTGATTACTTTTTAACGAGTGAGCCTAGCGGTGCAGCTGCAGTCTGACCTTTCTTGAATATGTGTGCATCTCGGTCGCCTAGAAAAAAAACCCAAGGGAAACTGATACCAACGCATCGGCTGAAGAGTCCAACGGACCAGTGATACGCGGCAACATAATGCATCATCTTCTCTCAAATTCCCGAAGCGAAACTGCGTATTTATGAGGCAATCTAATTTCGTGGCTCAAAATTAAGACGGGCAGCGACCACGGCCAGTGAAAGTATAACCGACTTATACCGAGGTAAAATTTTAAATACCGGTCTCATTTTATAAGCCAGCAAACCGGTGTTGATTAAAACTCTAGTTTCGCCACTTGCAGAATCCGCCGTGTCATATGAACTGCCATGAACTTGCTTTTTTCGCGGATCATGCGCCAAGTTTAGCTGGCTCAAATTCGATGCAGTTGGTGAGTGGTCTTCGAGGATTTCTTATTCGCTCCTTGCTTTTACCCGCAGTCTGAACGTACGAGTTTTTCTTCAAAAAGTACACGAGACAAGTTGATCATGAATTGGATCGCATTTGGCAAAAAGGAACCAGCGCGATTACAGTGTTGTAAAAATGTTGCCTCTTCATAATTATCTATAAAATCTCCCAGAATAGCAAATAATTTTGGCTTCCCATCAAGAAATTGTTAATTTTCACGGAAAATAATTGTGTTAATGTTAACATTGTACATATATTAAGCATTTTTAAAAGAAAATGAAAAGTTGCACGATCTTGAAAACACTGTTATCGTGCTGGTTCCTTTTTGCTAAATGCGATCCAATTGAACTGCGTTTAACTCTTAAATACCTCAGACTATTCTTATACGGAAAGTCCCAAGTCGGGTCGAATTGACTTGTACTTTAATAAATTAATTCCGATAGTTGAAGTATTATCTATGTTATACCTATGCTTTTGACATTAAGAAATACTTTTTTTTTTTTAAATGTTTACCTTTTTGGCAATGTGCCTCATGTAACTCCGACCGAAGAGATAGTCGGGCAAATTTGACCTGGCTGGGAATTTCTAGAGATATTTTTCAAATAATAAAAAAATAATAATAATAAAAAAAGACCCTAACAAAACAACTCCCGTAACAATATCAATTTTTAGACGCGCGCTCTTCATTGCGCTTGAGAAACCTCTAGATTTATTTATTTCTTTTTTTTTCTTTTCAAAATGATCATTGATTTAGAGCTATCATATATTATAGACAGATAGTTGGAAATGTAGCCGACGTACGTACATTTCAATTAAGCTGGACACTTTCGATACAGAGGGAAAATGCTCGTATCACATCATATAATATTTTATTCGATTTTAACCTTAAAATTTCAAATGTCAAAAAGAAGAGACACCTCAACGCGCGTTGAAACCGCGCGCGGAAAAAACAAGGCCCGCTTGCTCACGTAGCCCTTGAAGCACCAAAATCGAAGTAAGACAAACGGAGCCAACACAGCATGGAAATACAGCGAGGGAGAGGAGGCGCGTTGTCGACGGCGCAGTGATACAACTATTCGTGCTTGATGGATGTCCGTGTTGCGTCTGCAAATTTGAAGGCGCTATGGCGCGAGGCGTGAACTCGCAATGTTCCTGCTCCACACAATACTGCCGTGCTAAGGAAGAACGCCGTATGAACATTCGAGAGTTGCCAAATTTCCTTCGATAAAATGTTTATTTATGGGGAAAAGTTACGAATGTTTTTCCTTGAAATTTTCGGAAGTTTTAGATCGAATTACAAACAAAATTATCTGAGAAATTGGTAGGCAAATGTTCAAAAATTTTCCTGAAAATTAGTGATTTGCCGGGAGAAATTTGGTAACTCCTGGAGGTTCATACGGCGTTCTTCCTTAGCACGGCAGAATACTGCCCATGAGATGTCGAGAATAGTTTAAAAACGAGGCCGGAATGCGTATTTTCTATTTTTCGCTGTGTTGAGAGTTCCTCTCGTAGCCTTTGAAGCACCATCCAATAATAAGACAAACGGAACCGACAAAATATGAAAATGAGAGCATGGAAGAGGGCGCGCGTTCATGACGGCGCAGAGATACAACTATTCGTGCTTTATGGATGTCCGTGTTGCGTCTGCAAAATTGAAGGCGCCTTGGCGCGAGTGGTGAACTCGCAATGCTCCGCTCTATGCTGCCGATGAGATGTGTCTCAGATTCGGGAGAAAAGTTGAACAAATTAGTACGATTACGTCTTGCCTATCTTTGGCTGTGTTATTTTTTTTCAAGTTGACGCCTACTTCCTTTTTTACGATGTATTTGTAGACCGATATTTAAAGCTCGCATACATCATCGGCCTTACACAGCCCGCCAGATACGTGCTTTCAGCAAGCCTTGGGTCAATTTGACCCAGCCTGGGCATCTGGAGGGGGGGGGAGTATTTTGGGTGGAAATCGAATTGGAAGTCGTTTTTAAACAGCAAACAAAAGCATCAGCTCTAAAATCCGGCAAAGTCAATCGCTGACTCATGTTTGCCAAACTTGTCTGTAAGGAGGTATTGTTTGTTCTTCAGCCCTTAATACGAGAATCTTTCAAAAATTAAAAAAATACAAATTTTTTGGCAATTATGGCGCTTCTGCATGTGGCGCCTATTGCAAGTACGTATATTTTGAGCCGCCGGGGCCGTGTTTTGTCGGCCCTTCCACCGCACTTAAAAATACTTAGGACGAGTGTGGATTGCACTTAAGTCCGGCTTAGCGCTCCTGATTGGTGGGTGGTGCGGTTTGGACTCATCGATGGATGTTGCACCACCATGTGTGAAAGCCGCCAAAATTCGGCCCCTGACGACGAGAGCCAAATACACTGAAAAAAAAGTCACGGGCTTTATAGACATTCTGTCCGTTCCGGGCTCAAAGGCTGAAAGTTCGGGGTACTGGAGCCGTAACTTCGATTGCTGCGGCTGCTACGCCCGGCACTTTCGGCCTCTGCGCCCAGGACGCGGACGGTCTATAGTCCGTAAGTACGGCTTTCACGGCCGGAATTTTTCATCAGTGTAGTTACAACTTCGTCGAGTCCAAGCGAGGAATTCGGATGTTTTGGTATACAAAGCGATAGAACACGACTTGGGGCGGCATAATGAAGGAAACTCGGTAAAGAGAGCATGATAAGGAGCCGGAGCGTGATTCGGAGCCCAGTCCGGTGCGTAAGGCGTGAATCCCGCATCCGAGATCCCAGGTGAGATCCAGTAGCGGCCCCAGCTCCGCGTGGAGTCCGAGCTCCAAGCCCGCTCCCGGGAGAGGGGTGAAACGTAATGAGTGAGTATCCACAACTCGCATCCACCTTGCTGGCGGTCCCCCGCCCCCCTCCGCCCCCCACGCCCCCCTTCGCGACGCCGATAAACGGCGCCCAAGTTGGCGGCAAGCGCCGGCTCCGCTCCGCGCTGAGGTTTCCTCGGCAGTCTCATTGATAACCACTTTTGTGTCAACTTGTGCCGTGCCGATCCGCGCTTGCGTCCGTCGGGTATCATGATATCGCGAATTTCGTGTGCCGTGTGATAATATGATTCGGGATTGTTGGTGCGATGATATCATGAATTCCTCGCTGGCTTTGTTCATCTCGGGGGGAGTGTCTTTCGGTGTGATAGCCGCGCTGTGCTCCGGGATATTTTACCTCGTCGTCGTTGGACTCAAAAATTCCAGGTAAATTCATGTTACAGTTATCAAAAATCACAATTAAAAAAAAACCTCTTCGTTCAAGAGTGCAGTTTCTTGTCGCCGGATTTAAGAGTCTGGACTCTTGTTTCAATGCAAAATCCGCCGAATTAATGCAAAATCCGCTTGAAACAAGAGTTCAAGACTCTTAAATCCGGCTACAAGAAACTGCACTCTTAAGTTAATGCAATGCGGCATTGGTCCGAGAGGTTTTTTCAACCAGTGTTAACGATGGCTACCGGACAATACCGCCTTTCTGCAAACTGACAATCGGGCAAGACAACACCGAAAAAAAAGTGCAGTTGATTTAACATTCTGGATGTAAAAAAGTGTGCGAAAACTCACAAAATGCTAAATTAGCCGCCACGGCAGCTAGTTTTACTTCTTGACATTGCTAAAGTAACTGCTCTAGCAGTTAATTCAGCATTTTGTAAGTTCTCGCACACTTTTTTTACATCCAGAATGTTGAATACACTTCACTTTTTTTTCGGTGAAAGAAGAAACTTCGTCATTTTTGTAATTTTGTGGTTAAATTTGCGATTTTTATATATATTACATAGCCTTATCAGCGCTTCCATGCAGAATGGGACAACATTGAAAACATCAGCTTGCGTATTTAATATACTGAGGAATGCGGCAAAATTGCTGACTAATTCTCGATAAAAATTGTTAGTTGGGTGGTATATTGTACCTTAGCCCTCGATACGTTCGTTTATAATTGAGCGGTTTTCTGCAGAAATGACGTATGAGCTTAGTGATAATGCTGAGATTGTGCAACTTGGTGCTTCCTTTCCAACTAGGCGACATAAATACTGGAATTTTTACTCTCAAAAGTCTTCTGTATTTTGACTTATTTTTCCATAAAAATTATTAGCACATGTGTTTATTTGTTGTTTCACTATTACACATTATACACAGAGTTGAAAAGTCTTAGAGGCACTGACTATAGTTTATACGACGTTTTTGCAAAAAATGTCTCGATTCATGGACATCTTGCATATCTGGTACCTAAACAAGAGAGGGGGATTGTACAAAAACGACCACACTTGTATGTGAATGGGAGGTTTACAAAGAGCTTCACTGATAAGAGATAAGAGAACTAGATATTACATATTAATAGATCTAGAACCCATCCAGTTCTAAAGATTCGATGAATAAGTCGTATTTGCATGTTAATTCTCTAAATTCCATGAAACTATACGAAACATTTTGTTCAATTTTTAGCTGATATAACGCTACACGACCCAATTGAAAAAATGTGACTCATTTATACGCTATCATCTAATTTTGTCCATCGTTTTAATCTCCTCCTGTCTTGATCATTCTATGATGAAATAAATTTCGATTCATCAAATAAGATATAAATTTAAGAGGGAGAGTGATGGGCTAAAGTAGAATCATTATCTTTATCGGGCAAGTGTCTCATCGTTTGGTTCTCGTTCTTTAGAACACTTGACTTATTTTCCCTTAGCGAGTTAGATTCGGTTATTTTAATAATGATTAAGTTCTAGCGAAATCTGATAGCAATATGGCCTTCTTATGTCTTAGAGACAGGAAAAACCTAGTTAACGGAGAGTGAATTGTACTTTTGATCTTTGGAACGTGTTTGATTCCAATTCATATTAAAAAAAAAAAGTACTTGTTTCTTTTTATCTTAATCAGATCGAGTCATAGCACCGCCTGAGCATGAGGTGCAACTGCAACAGATGGTTCTTGGCGCTTTTGCCTATCTGCGTTCTTTTTTCGTGGAGGAAGCCCTGCTATATGAAGCAGTCACGATGTCCAGAAACGATACTTATTTGAAAAAAAGAAATAAGTATAGCTTTCAAATAAAAGCCTAAGATGGTCCGAGACATGTAAAAAACGGCTGTTGTTGGTATATGGAATGAAAAAAATTCTTTAGAATGCGGTGATCTGTTACCTTACCTTGACCGCCTTTATTCCTGAATAACTTTATGCTGTATTTTCAATGATGTGAGAATCGTTCTCATTTTGGTAAAATAGATACAAAGCGGAAAACCTCAGTTGATTTCGTTCTCCGTCCTTGGTTTTTATCATTCCCATAGCATATTTTTCCTGAATTTAGGGAAAAGCTATCGAGAATAACGAAAGTATGACACGAATAGTCATTTGATAACGGATATTATGCTCGTATTTTGCTTCTTTTTGACTGAATTAATGCTTGCTTATAAAATAATGTTTTTAGAGTGGTTGAGGGAATTCAGCAAATTCGCAAGGAGGAGCACAGGTAAAACTTGATTGATTCAAAAATGGGTTTTCTCAACAAATTTCAAGCGATACTGCTAAACATCTGTGACGCTGTAAAGCCGCGATAATTGCTTTGCAATTTAAGGCATTGATACATCCATAAAATAGAGCTTAATTTATGAAAAGTTAGAGTTTAAATCGGTATTTTTGACTGAATAAAAAAGGGGAACTTTCTATCATTGCTAGTAATACACTTAATGCATTTACTACCGGGCCTGTGAAATATTCTCCTTTGACTGGGTTTGCTTCAGATTGTCGAGATTGATACAAAAACTCGGTTGGTCAATGACGCGATAGAAACACGCACCAGTCGATAGACATTGGTACGACAGCTTTCTGATTGGAAGTAACTAGTGTTGCGTCAAACAGTATAACTTCGAGAGGGAATATTATACTCGAAATGAGTTTTTTCCCTCCTTAATGAGACGATACAATATGTGATGCAGAGGCATGGCGTCACATTGGCTATTTCATCCAAATGATCAAAACTTTTGTCGGTTTGTCAAAACTTAAAAGTAAAGAAATAAGTAAATGAAGGAATCAGGACTTTTTTTCCAAAACGTTCGATTGACTTTAGTTAACATGCATGCATGTGAAGGTGACAAGATAGAAATAAGATACTCCACTACAAGAGTTGTTCTTGGATAAGAGAGAAAAAATTTTTGCTTTGTTTCACAAACCGTCTTTAATTTGTATTAATAACTTTTCTTTTTGAAAAAAAACAACATTAAAAGCAAAAATTTTAAAATCACCCGACCGAGATAAAAAGTTTATTTAGTTTCTTCATTCGCATTCAATTTCCTCCACTGTATCATCCACTTCCGCGGTAATTTGGCAACAAGTTTATTACTATTCAGTAAGTTCCCTCTCTTATGAGAGACATACCTACGCTACATCACAGTCTAATTCCTCCAAATTACTGCGACTGCACCGGTGAATTATAATTGAAGGCTTCTGCATGCCTTTGGCAAGGCAACGTACAAAAAGGAAATAAGGTCCGGACCAGTTACGCATGGTCATGGTATGCGGAAAGATTACATATCCACGCTGCATAAAAATTGCACTCTGATTACTGAGCATACTCATCGAAAAGAATAAAAATAAGAAAAAATAAGAACAAAAGATATAATTTTAGAACGAACTATAATAATTAGTCGACTAACAGAAAAAACTGATGAGAGTGATACTGGCGAAAGAAAAAACTGAGTAACTTTAAGGTCAGTTGAATGTTTCTTCCCTCTAACGTGCGAAAAGAAGATACCATTCACACATTGATAATATATATTCGGCAGTGGCGTAGCGTGAATTGCGATTTATCGATTGTTATGTCATTTAAACCTATGGTAAAGAATCGATTATTAAGGTGTTCGCTACGAACACCCTGTTTATCGATCCTTTTCCTTAGGTTTAAATGACATAACAATCGATATATCGCAATTCACGCCACGCCACTGATATTCGGAACTCTTCGGGGCAAAGCTCGGAAGGAATTGTTATTGCATTGCAAGTCATGGATCTCAGTTTTTTAAAGTCAGAAATTAGGATTTCCAAAATGGCAAAACTCGTGCCTTACAGAAAAAAAGAAGAAAACAGTAGAAGAATAAGGAGCTTCTTCTCATTCCAAAACTTCAACAATGCTCTTAAATGGTCTTGGAAGAGAAAGAGGGGCGATGACCTAAACAAATGTCTACACACCGGTAACAGTCACTGTTAGCCAAACAAATAAAGTAGCTCACAGTGTACCTGATTGTAATGAAACAGCCCCTTTCATTTCACGAAAAAAAAAAAAAAAAAAATTATAAAAAATCTTTTTCCTCTAATCAAGTTGTTCTTTCGAGACGACGAAATTATAATGATGAACACTTAACACAATCAGACCGCCAAAGTAGCATGTCACGAGGAAGCAAATTGAAGGAAAGCAGTGCCGCCAATTTTCAAATTATAATCTACGATTTCCACAAAAAATTCGTAAAATCTACGGAAATTGCAACCTTGCGGAGAGGTTAATTTTATAGCGAAGCAGTGCGGTCACCTTCCAGTTGCTTGTTTGTAGAAACAGACACACCAGTACAGGAGATTCTGAATTTGTGGTCGTAATTTAAATTTGATTTAGCGGGTATTCATAGCGCCGTCCCGCGAGCCCGCGCCTCGCTGATTCGTCGGTTTGTTTCCGAGTCGAGAGGCTTTTCAAGGTCCGTTTCCTAGTTGTCGTGGACTCCAGAATTCGTGATTGTCTCTCAATTGCGCCGAACAGGGTACTTAGATAGCGCTATCATGAGGTTCGCGGTATCTGAAGGATGTGCCAAGTGCCATCCGTGTGCTGTTTGCAAAATGGCTTGCTTCCTTGTAAAAATAGCGAAAATTTTGCGTGATCATGAGCTATGAAATGACTGCAACGTGAGGCGAAGTTGTGTTGTTTTATTGCTGATATCATTCAATTTTAAGAACTCAGATAGTGATGGCTTTTGGAAAGAACTTTTCAAAAACTTTTGAAAAAAGGGTTGAAAGTTATTTCTTGTTAGTTTGGTACTTTTTTCGCTTAAATTTCACCTCGGGGCCATCGATAAATTATGTAACACACACTTGAGTAAAAAAAAAACTTGAAAAATGTTAATTTTACAGACTAGGTAATTTTTCAGAATTTTTCATCCTGTTCTTGAAAAAATCTTTTAACAAGTGTGTAATTAATTATATTTTAAGCTTTAAGGGGCAATTATTCA